CCCCCCCCCCCCCCCCGACTTTTTACCGTCCTATAACCAAGTCATAGCCTGATTACTGCTTATGCTCCAGGCTGCGAAATGCTATACACAAAAAAACAGCCAAATTTAAAATCAATTTTTAATAAATTGCTATGCCTTATGATACACCTGTAGCATTGTCACCTCTGCTTGTGCTTTGCTTTTTGTTTGTGAATTCACATATCTTTAGTTAATAAATTTTGTTTTTAAAATCTTGAGACCATTATTCCCACAGCACGTTTAAAAGTTATGATTGCGTTTCGTCCAAAGTGGGAATAAAAATTAGATTTAGATCTATATTGAAATATTTTCTCTTGCTTTGGCCTGGGGAAGCAGTGTATCGAGTCCGGACTGCCCTCGAAACCCATGTATTCGGAATTGTTTTTTTATGATCCGCGACTTAGACACACCAGCCCATGCCTGATTTAAGGTATGCCAATATAGCCTAAGGAATACCGACATATTCGGGAGTTGGTGTAGACTACGTAGGGTCTGGAAACCATTTAAACAGCCGAGGGTTCTCGTGGTCTATGGGTATGGTATTCGCCTCTCAATCAAATGGTTCCGGGGTCGAACCTTACCAGCGACCAAAAAAATCCACAAAATCTTTTTTCTAAAATGCACTCCTTTGTCTTCCTTTCCTTTCATCTCGTCATGTTCTGTCATCTGTTGTTTCCACCTTCACTTGTTTCCCCTCCTCCCACCTCCTGCCTCATATTATGTGCTTGTCCTTTCATTCCTGACTCCTTCTACTGCTAGTTCTAGTCCTGGTTCCATCTTACAATTATCTTTCTACAGCTACACCCCTAATCCTAGGGTAGGTAAGGTCTTATTCTAACACCTGATAGCTTTCTTGGATAAGGGTGAAAAAGCTGGAAAATATAGTCTTATTGTACCTTCGAAATCGGAATGTGGCTGCCTGAAGGCAAGGGATCCAACAAACTTTACAAAGTAGTAAAACGTCATAGTCATATATGTACAAATCAGTTGCACCACAGGTTAAAGAACCAGCAGTCGACTATCCCTGAGATCTGGCAAGGAAACACAGAGAATGGGAAGACTAAAACTAAACAGTCAGGAACAGTGAGGTCACTGTTGGGTACGAGACTATAGATGTACAGACACGTTTTACTTGCTTTCATTGGTGACTGACCTATTCAAAACCACATTTATCTCTTTTTTTTTTTTAAGAGAAAAAAAAAGCTTCCAGAACTGCACTGAGGTATACCAAAGATAGTATACCCTACTGTAAGGTGTTGCACTGGCCCAATTTGCACATCGACCGCCAGCGCCACCTAGCGAGAAGCGTGCAACAATGTGTAAAAATATACGGAGGATGAAACGCCACGCTCATCCTGTCGGCCAACTGGCCAGTTCTGTTCAGCGATGGGCTGATCGAATTCCAGAGGAAAAACCAAAACCACTGTCTTTCTTCATTCAGATTCCCAAAGGACCAAGAAGGAAAGACAATGTGATATCGATTTTTAAAATCTGGACTCTAGATTAGAGCTGAACTAGATAAATCAGATTCCAGCCAGTAAGCTTTGTTTACTATGACCAATGCTTTGTACTCTGTATTTTGTTTTGAGTGGACCCTTTCCATTTGGTGTAGATCTAGATTCTAGACGTAAATGTTGTATATAGATCTATACGTTTTATGAGGTGTATGTAATTATGTAATTTGTTCTTTAGCACAACACAGAGAGATCAGTATGCATTTGATTTGTAAATTGTTACGACGTATGGGCCATTGGCCTCGAAAGTCAATAAAATCAAATTCAATTCAATTCTTTTTCAC